TTGAACCTTTTCGAGGGCTTGATTAAATGTTTGCTTTTTAATTGGGTTCAACCGCGGATTTTTAATTGATTCAGTTGTCATTATACCTGTAACAAAACGTATAACCATAAATAATAATATCATACGTGTGTACTGTGTGAATAATACATACCGTATAAACACTTCACAAATTCAGTGTCTTTCAGTATTAATTTATTTGATGTAGGCCTAGATGCTGTGAAATGTTTCAAAACTTTTTTATTAAGAAATCTTTCTAACACTTTTTTAACAGAAATATGCTTTCTATGCTGCTTCCTTGTCTAACAAGCTAAAAAATTTATGGATCTGAAAGAACGTTTTCCGTGAGATAATGTCATTTTTTTACTCACCATGTATTTGTTTAAAGACTCATTCTTTTTCAGATTTTCATTAAATGATTGAAAGTCTTCCAAATGTTTGAATTGTACAACTAGACCGTGTTCTTCATCAGATGTGACAACGGGGTAAGTTCCCATATTAGCCACTAATCCTTGTAATTTTATTATCTCCCCTTGCATTGTTCCGATTTGCTGCGATAATTTGTGATAACAATCTCCAACAAAAGATTTTAAAGAATTGAATCAAATAAAATAATTCTTAAAAAGTTGCCGGTTTATATGCTGGTAAGATGTATAAAAATATATAAACAAAAAATATAATTTGTAATGAAATTGTCAGAAAAAAGATTATAAACTAGTAGCTATAATAAGGCAAATTATATAATTGTTAAAATATTCGGCATAAAGTGATTTAAACGAAGCTCTGCCGAAAAAAAATTCATAATTATAAAGAATATTTTAATAATTACTTTATTATAAGAAATTCACACGGAAAAAAATTACTTTAGAAAGAGCAATAACAATGACACAAAAGTTTTTGGAATTTACATAAATAAACTATTCTAAAATAATTTAATTTTAATTAAAAATAAAACACTAAAAAAATAAAAATTAAAAATTAAAATTAAATTATTCGATAATAATAAAAAGAAAAATGCACGATAAATTGCTAATAAGAATACACTTACTTGAAGCATTGCGCGACTTATTGCCTAAAAGGTCCGGGCGTGTTTCCATACAGAATTGGCCCACCCTGCTATTTAAATTATTTTGATGTCATTTTATAGGTATTTTCGAGAAAATTCAAAATACCAAATTTCAAATCCGTAGCTCATCATTTGGCCGAGATATCAGTGAAAACATGTGAAAGTGGCCCCTTTTTTCAAACTCACTTTTTGTCGGAAATATGAGAGACATCGAAAAACTGTTAACGTCATTTTATTTATACTGATCTTGTCTATGTTGTTCATAACAAATAATGTGAAAAAATTATTTGTTAGTGCGTGAAAAGGTGAAAATGATTTTTCATTTTCCATTTTCTACCAGTGCAGCTTTTTGGACTACTTTTATATTAGCATCATTCGAAAGCCTGTAGATATTTCTTCTGTTATTCAAAAATTCATTTAAATTTAAGCAAAACTTTGGGTGAAAAGTTGGAAAAACTTAAGCTAGTACGCGCGCTGCCGGTACAAGAACACCCATATAAAGTAGCTTTGCAAGAGCGACGAGCAAGCATAAGACTCGTCGTTACGCGCATCTCGACAAATTCTGGTATATAAGTATGGAAATATTTATTAAATCCAAAATTTATTTATATTTTGTATATAAGTATATTCATTAGTCATAATAAAAAATCCAACGCGCCGAATAAAATAATAATTATTATTATTGATTATTTTCATTCGGCGTATAAGCTTCTGACTAATATATTTCAATGAATGAAAAACTTAAGATTTCAATATTTTTCATATATTTACGTAGGCAATAAAAAGTATTTTAATTTTAATTTATTACCTTTTTTGATTTTTGCAATGTTTTTATATTGTATATAGTTATCATTAAATAAAAAATCGATAAAAATATATGTCAGAAACATTTCATAGCAAGTATATAAGTATTAAAAATGTATTAAGTATTAAAAGTATATAAAAATCGTGGCAACCCACGATTCTCTCTTATAGTACCACATACCCTAATTTTTTTCTCTAGTAAATTTGCCGTCAGTTCCACACTGCTATAATAATTGTCCATATAAACGTGGTGCCAAATATTCGCATAGTTCTCTAAAACATCTTCTACAAGGTTTTGTAATTTCTGCCCATTTCCGTTATACAATTTAAAATTTGTGATATAAGCACTTTCAGATTCACACAACAACCTGACAAGCATCCCGTACTTCGTTTCTATTATTATATCATTATTACAAAAATGTAATGATTGTAAAATTTGCCTAAATCTATTTCGAGGCATAACTTTCCCGAAAACTGGTGTCTCTATAAGTTAACCCGTAGACCAATAATCGTTCAAGTTCCTCTTATTCACCTGTCCCATTAAAATATTTAAAGCAAGAAATTTCTTCATTTCGTCTATTGTGGTATCTTCCCATTGTTTTATCTTCTTTGTAGATTTATATTTATTCACATTTTGCAAGTGGCACCTGTTCGTTTCCTTTACAAGTAATTCAAAAAATCATTGCCAATAAATTCGTCATTGTTAAATTCGTCATCGGAATCGCTCTTCTCCGAATTACTTTCAATAGGTAAAACTTTTCCACTAATAATAATGTCTGACTCATCACTTTCACTTATATTATTTTCATCCCCAGATAATATATCTGCATATACTTCACTATTATCATTGCAAATATTATTATTATACTCAACAGCCTGTTGTTCCATTATAAATCTCGTTCAGTGGTCAATATTTCAATATATAAATAATTAAAAACTTCAAAATTGACCTCAGTAAAAGAACGTACTACTACGTCACCAGCTACAGCAATTGGAATACGAGTGACGTATTACGTCAGCGGCCATTGGCTAGCGGACAAATAGGCACGAGCACGATTTCCCTTCTCTTTACACCTGTAACACTTCAATTCCTTCTTCCCAGAGTACTTCTTCTCTCTTAAAACTGTGCTATTCTCCTACCGTGGTTGGTTTTCGAAGTGGCTCTGGGCACTCTCTGGTTTGCGTCCCACTACTTTCACTTGCTTTCCTGTCTGCTACTAACTTCTCATACTTTAGTATGCTTGCACTTAGTTGTCTGGCATTGCTGTGACTTATTCACCTGCCTCTAAGTAACACTAATGCTTATTTTGTAGTCCGAGAACTATTTCATGTTTAGTCTCCCGGAAACTAAGGTTCAAATCCTGGCACAGTTTTCTCTTAGAATGATAGTATACAATGGCTTCTTCCGACTTCAGTTGGACTCGTTTCTTCATGCGTTCCCACTTCATGTATCTCCATCCTCTACATGTGTGAAAGCATACTTGAAATCTTCTTTAAAGTTGTCCCACGACTTTATTTCATTCCTCTCCGTGTCGTACCAATCACGTCCGGCACCTACCAAATGGCATATTGCATTGTCCAACGCAATATTATTCGTGACTTTAAACTATCAATCTTTTGCAGCCTTTGCCTTCATTTGCCTTTTCTGTTCTGCCGTCGAAATGCCCCAAAGTTTTCGACAAATCCGTCATCAAGTGATATACCGGTCTCGTTTGCTTATCCTTCTGTCTTAGTAACGCCCTCATCATGTCATATAACAACTCGTCGCGTGTCCCCATTATGCTCGTATTGTCCGCGTTCAACATGCTTTGGAACTTCTCAAATGCGTCTGCGTTCCCTCCATTTTTCCTACTATGAGTCTACGCAAAAACAAAACTACGAAAAGTTCCAGCAATCGCTTCTCACGAACAAGGTGTACGTACTGTTTCTAAATCGACATACGATTTAAAACAGTCCCATTAACCTAAACTGGTAACACACGTTATTCGACACCGTGTCACTTTTCTAGAACCGAATCTCGTTAATATATTGAAACAAAATAATATTAACACAACACGAAACTTATCACCATGTGGGGTAGCTCATTCACACTTCTGAAATGTTAGAAACATTAATTATGCGATTATTTACCTTAATGTTTCCAGCTGAAAGTAATACACATATATAATTATTACATATAATAATAATGCACGTATACTTATCAATAATCTATTTACTCGTCAGGATATTATAGTTATATTTACAAAGAGATGTTTATCCTTCGACGGCAGCTTTAAAAAGGAATTAATCCTAAGCATTTACAAGCTAAGTGTAACAATTTCCGCGGTCAAAAGTGCGAGAACTAGACGACCATAAAGTTATTCTTCGTTACGCAAACGTAACGCGCGAACATTCAAAATGCCGCTAAAAATTCTCTCTATGGCTTCCTTTATTTCTTGGTCACTCACAAATTCATACGTTGCCGTGTTGTCATTGAATTGCCACGTCATTTAAATTGAGTACTAAACCTGCTTTTCTAAGAAAATCCATGCCTAGTAACGTGCAATTTGATCTTGCTGTCGGTATTGCAACAAACTCCGTGGCTATCAGTCTTCCCATTATGTGCACTATGGTGGTCGTTACTACCACATCCCTTGGTCTTGCTTCTCCGTCTGCCATGGTCATCTTTATGTTTCGCGGTTGAAACTCATGGCCAGTTTTCCTTAAAACCTCATACAAATAATAACCTGCGAGGCTATGGTCGGCGCCAGTGTCCACGAAACCGTATCCCTTTACGTCTTGCGCCGTGATGGGTACAGCGGGTCTTGCATGTGCTCTCGGAATATTTACCGGAGCTTGTAAATTTACTAGAGGGTTTGCGTTTCTTCTGTTTTGTCGGGCTTTGAGGTGTCGACATTCCTCTGTCGTATGGCTCCTTTGTTTACAGAATGTACAGTCCACTCTGTTTTGTTTCTTGCCCCCGTCTTCTAAAGTCACAAAGAAGAAACTTGCCGCTTGTATCTCCGCTTTCTCGCAAGGGCTCGTTGTGCAATTTGGGCATTTACTGCGGATCACGCCTGGCTTACCGCAACCATAGCATCAGTATTTTGCTTTATCTTTTTGTATAGAAGCAGCTTTTGCCTGTGTCCTGGTTTTAGTCCGGTCCGGACTTTTCTTCAATGTGTCCGGTTCGTTTGCAGAACGTGCAAACTTTCTGCGTTTCTTCTTTGGGGACACATTTCTTGTTCTCGTTTAAGTTGGCTTCGATCTCTCGTGCTCTCGCCAGAAGTTCTTCGAACGATGAAACCGTTGTTCGCGGAACACGCTCACGAATATTTAATCGTAGCAGCCCGTATATCATGTCCAATTGGCTGCTTATTGGGATTCCAGGCGGAGGAATCTCGGCAAATAGAGCCCTCTTCTTACATACGAATGTCGGCGTGCTACGGTCCTGTCGTAAGTTTAAAATCTCTAAATAGATTGCGTAGGCTGGTTTCTGAGGTGCAAATGAGGATTTTATTAGCACTATTGCTTCTGTAAACGTGCTTACCTCGCTTTTTATACCTTGCCACCAGGTGGCTGCGACGTCTTTTAGTAGTAGCGGGAGTCCCATGAGCGCTTTTTCTTTACTAATGTTCTCCATTTCCTTGTAGAGTGCTATCACTGTAGTAAATTCAGCAATTTTCTGCATTCGGCGTTCCATCGAAGCTTGCCTTGCAGTTTGCGAAACTACCTGAGCTTCTTTCTGAGGTTGATGGCCATATCTGTTGTGACGGTCAGATTCCTGCTGCATGCCAGATTTGTGCTGTATACTTTGATCCAATCTTTTTCTTGCCACAAAATTGGGCGCCAATTTGTGACCTTACGATGTTTGGTCGGTGAAAATATAATTAAAACAAAAGCAGTAAGGTAACTGTTTCTTATATTTATTAATTACAGGGTTCAAGAATAGGTTAAATACAAAATATTCGCACATTAATCTGTTTGCTTCGGCCTCTAGTAGTAGCGGAAAATCTGAATCTCGTCCAACGCCGTCGAACTGTTGTGCATGAATCGCGTCGAACAGTTTTAATCCTCTTCTGGCTTGTCGTTCCGAAAAGATTATGGCTTGTCGTGCGTTAAGCGCGACATCCGTTGTAGATCTCCTGGAACTGGTGTGCGTGAGTCGCGTCGAACAGTTTTGATCTTTTTGGGACTGTTGTGCGTGTGTCGCGTCGAGCAGTTTTAATCTTCTTGGGACTGTTGTGCGTCAATCGCGTCGAACAGTGTAAAACTCCTAGAACTGTTGTGCGTGAGTCGCGTCGAACAGTTAATGGTACTTGAGGCTTTTAAGTCAGCTATCAATTACAACTTTTTTGCTTTTGCAGGCCAATTTATACTAAGGGTTACTTTTGTAAATAGACTATTTCGTAAAAGATCTCGACATGGTTCACGATCATTTATTTCTGAAACATCAGTATCAGTCAAGATTGTCTTGTTTGATTCTGAGTCATTATTTTCAAATAGATTTATTTCTTTGATCTCTAAATCTATTTGTACATTATAATACTTGCTACCTAAAATCCACACAATATGAGTGAACATTTTTCGAGCATGGTTTAAATCTCTACATCTTCCACCTAAAAGAAAAATAATTGAGCTTACAGCTACAGATATTATTTCCTGATTACCATTTGCAAATTTTTTTGCATGATATGACAGTCTCTTTGTGAAATGACTGCAACATAAATGTAATGTTATGTTTTCTGTAAAAAGTTCAGAACTATTATCATTTAAAAACATATGGCACTTATTAATATAATCAATCAAATTTGTATTATTGCAACCTTGAATTATCGCACGAATGCTTGCATAGCTGTGACATTCTGATTCTGTTGAGATTAGCTTACTTCTCGAGCACGACCACCGCGGCGGCCTCTGTTGCCATGGAAGCTGCTGCTGCTTGCAGAAGGGAGAAAATTACTTCGCGGTGGCTTTCTGCCGCGCTGTATTTTACCGCCCCGTCCTCCGCGGACTGAGCCGCTCCAACTTGCGGCATCGTCCTGGGACTAAAGTAATAATATTATAACAACTTATAGCTAAGTATATTTACGAATGTATTTACATAATATTATATAAATGCTACATTGCATTATCAAGATAAATTTTAAGACTAACGCCCTCAGTATTTTTGAGTAAATTGTTAAATAACTCAATTAATATATACTATCATACGGCATATCAAACGGCAGCAAAGCCACCGTCTTCCACTCTGCTTAAATCTCTACTTGAATTTTATTTAAAACTTCTCCAACTACCTGGAGCTAGCAATCTGCCATAAGAAAAATCATAATGAAAAATTGCTTAAATTTGTATATAAGTTCCTTATATATATACTTATATATAAGATTTATATTTTTTTGTTGAGACAATTATATTTATATTTATACCTTCATCGTCATTTACAATCGCACATAATGCCACTGCATGTCCCAAATATGTAGTCAAGGCGATGTCCCCGAGACTCTCTGGCCTCGGATTTAAAAGTATTAAATCTATCATAGTAAAAAATAGAAATATGTACACGTCCTGAACAATAAAGAATTGGATTTAAATTACTTACATTTTTTTCATTCTTGACTTGGTGTGAGTGCCCGTGAACAAAATGAGTACCTCCTCCACAGGTATCTTTTGTAACGTTGAGAATGTCAACTGTTGTGCAGCATCTTTAGTTGAGACTAGAGAAAATGTAATACCATCAACTCGGATTTTCTCGCGAAAACAAAGTTTGTAAGTGTAAAACGAAGGAGTAGTCATTACAAACTCAATTATAAAAGTTAAAAATTAAAAAAAGCATGTACCGTAATTACGTTACGTGTTATTATATCCCATAGTATTCTGTATATATAGAATAGAATAGAACTTTATTAAAATTCAATAGTTACAATTTAAGTCATTTACTATACATAATAATTCTAAAAATTCATTTATCAAATAGTAGGGATTATTTAGTAAATAATTTTAACAATATTTTCAAAGGTGAATCTGGTTTTGCATCTCCATCCATCAGGTAACTTATTATAGATCTTGGCTCCCAATGTAGTTCTTAGCGATGATTTAAGTTTGATTTTTGGACATATCACTGCATTTTTATTCCGCGTATTGTGGTCGCGGACATCATTTCTCAATAAATGATTAGTTTTATCAGCATGCACCGCAATAGCTTGTTGACAAATATAAATGTTTGTGACAGTCAAAATTTTGTGTTTTATGAATAGCGGCCTGCAGGCTCCCGGGGTGAGACACCTTCTATTGCTCTAACCGCCTTCTTCTGTAAATCCATGACTTTAGAAGTATGTGCACTATGTCCCCAAGCTAATATTCCGTATGAAAGTACAGAATGGAACATAGCAAAGTAGGTTTCCCTGGCACGTTCCTGGTTTATTATGGATCGAATTCTTCTGATGGCATAAATGGCTTTCGAGAGCCTTGCGCATAGCAACTCTATATGTTTGGCCGAGATCAGCAAACTATCCATTCTTAGTCCCAAGTATTTAACTTCACCGCCTTGAAGTTCAACATGTCTTCTACTAGCTGTAAAATTAATAGAAACAGTTTTATTTCTATTCAGAACAATTTTATTGGCGAGGAACCACTCTTCAGTTTGTTTGTAAGCATTTTGCCTCTTCTCATTCATAACTTTTATGTCTTTGCTTGCAACTGCCAGTGCCGTATCGTCTGCGAACTGAGTCGAATGGCAATTCAAGTTGGAGGGCAGTTCATTCACAAATATTAGGAATAGTAGCGGACCTAAAATACTGCATTGGACAATTCCAATATTTGGTACTACATCTGCATTACTAAGCTTATATTGCCAGTCGACGAATTGTTGACGATTTGTGAAGTAGGATTGCATCAGCGTTAACGGAACACCTCTCAGTCCATAATCAAGTTTTTTTAGAATTTTGTGCGGTACACAATCGAATGCTTTACTAAGGTCACAAAACAGAGAATCAGTCATCTTTTTATATTTTACTATATGTACCGTCCTCGCGTTGTCAAACCTTAAATTCTCTGGTCAGTTCGTGTGCCTTCTACCTAACTTTTAAAATGTGGTGCGCACATTGGTGCACATTTAGGCTTCACTCTCGCATCGGAATACGGAATTGCGAGATGTACTATACAATAAAAAAAATCGTTTTGAAGAATTTTATATAATTGTTCCGATTATTTAAAGTCAAGAATTATTTTTTATCGTGCATTTGTGAACAATTATCATTATGAAATAATTAGGATTACTACAATTACATGTAAGTTTTTACACCATACCACTTTCTTATAAAGCCATTTATGCCATCAGAAGAATTCGATCCATAATAAACCAGGAACGTGCCAGGGAAACCTACTTTGCTATGTTCCATTCTGTACTTTCATACGGAATATTAGCTTGGGGACATAGTGCACATACTTCTAAAGTCAATTAATAGTTTTGATCTGTATTTTTAAACTTGAGTCCACTGAGGATGACACAAAACGATGTGTCGAAACGTATGGAAACAATAAAAATGTTTTAAAAGTCGAGAGTTTTTTGAAAGTTTATTTATTTAAAATCCATACGTTTCGGCTAGCATCTTAGCCATCATTCAGTGGTAATCAAATTAACTATAAAAATTGAAACTAAATGAGTTATATGTAAGAAATTTCATAGAAAAACAATAATGATAATAAGAAAACACTTACAATTTTGTATCCTAATATAGCATATGAAACCATTATTCAAATCCATTGTATGAGTATGTGTACATTGATAAACTATATATTTTTTAACATCACAAATATTAAAACACACTAATAACCATGATAACTTAACAAGTTGTCGAAGCTATGTATTTACTCTTTGGAGTTTAAGATAGAAATGTCACATTTTTTCCCTAAAGCAGTTTTTAGCATGTGTTTAAATACGGGAAATTTAAAAGGATGGGATCTTGTCATTTTTTAAGAAATTTTGGCACGCTATTAAGAAACCACGTGTTTGTTTCGTTCAGTCGAAGCGTTTGTTTATGACCCTGTTGTTATGCAATTGCAAAAACCACCCCTCAGCAAATCTTCTTTTAATTAGGTTCTCTTCAAAATGTAAAATTTTAGGGTTGAAAAAATCTATATTATGGTTTAAATTTTTAATATGCTTAGTTAACATCGTCTTAAATTGCTTCGGATTTTTTTAGTTGTTTTTATGTTGATGAAGGGTTTGGCTAGTTTCTCCAATATATAAGAGTTTGCAATTAGAGCAATTTATCTTATATACCAAGTTCCTGAGGCGGTCAAAATTAAACTTAGATTTAATTTACGTAAAATTGAACTAAGGGTTGTATCACAATTACATACCAACAAAATGCCACACTGTTGAAATATTTTTTTTCCACGAGAAATATAAATCTTTTACGTACGGTAGGCAAATGACACCAGTATATGACTCCAAGTCTAAGCGGTTTGTATGGTCTATGAGGTCGTTTTGTTCGTTGAGAATGTAACTGCGTCTGTTATTTATTACTGAGTTAATTATGTTTGTAGGATATGAGTTGTTTTTTAGTGTGCTTATTATTAGGTCAATGTTGGTGTCCCAGAAAAAATTTTATCAGATAGTAGTATGGCATGGTCTGTTAAATTTATTATTGTTGCTTTTTTCATTTTAAGAGGGTGGTATGAGTGGTAATTTATGTATCGCCCGGAGCTAGTTGGTTTCTGGTACCAGTGAGTAATTAGTCGGTGGTCATTTGTACGTATTAGTCTGATGTCTAGAAAGCTAATCGAATT